TGGAAGTAGCCGGCCGAGCAGGCGGCCACGCAGGAGCCGCCCTGCAGGTACCGGCCGGCCGGGCAGCTGGTGCAGTTGCCGGCGCTGGTGACACAGGTGGCACAAGCGGCGTCACAGGGCAGGCAGCTGGTCCCGCTCTGGAAGTAGCCGGCCGAGCAGGCGGCCACACAGGCGCTGCCCTGCAGGTACCGGCCAGTTGGGCAGGCGGTGCAGGCAGTGGCACTGCCGCTGCAGGTCTTGCAGCTGCTATCGCAGGCCAGGCAGCTGGTGCCGCTCTGGAAGTGGCCGGCCGAGCAGGCGGCCACGCAGGTGCTGCCCTGCAGGTACTGCCCGGCCGGGCAGCCGGTACAGGCGCCGGCGCTGCCGCTGCATGTGGTGCAGCTGGCATTGCAGGGCAAGCACTTGCCATCGCTGGCAAAGCGCCCGGCCGAGCAGGCACTCACGCAGCGGCTGCCCTCCAGCAGTCGGCCCACCGGGCAGTCGGTGCAGGTGCTACGGGCACCGGCGCACTGGGCACAAGTGGCATCGCACGGGAGGCAGTTGCCATCCAGCCGGAAGTACCCCGGCGAGCAGGTATCCACACAGGTCCCATCCTGCAGGAGCAGGCCCGTCTGGCAGGCGATGCAGAATTGCCGGATCTCCCGGCACTCCAGGCAGTTGCCATCGCACCGGACACAGCGCTTGCCACCCTCCGGCATGTAGCCCGACGAGCAGGTCGACACGCAGCGGCCCTCCTGGAGGAGGTAGTTGTCGCGGCAGGAGAGGCAATTGTCCGGCTGGCCGGAGCACTCCAAGCAGGGCAGCGTGCACTGCACGCACATCTTGGTCTTCACATTCAGCGTGTACCCGCGGGAGCATTCGGCCACACACTCGCGATCCTGGGGGAGGAGCCCATCCGCGCAGGCAAGGCAGCGAGACCCATCGCACTGGGTGCAGGGCTTCGGGCACCTGGTGCAAATGCCCCTCAAGTTGTACATGCCCTGCGGACAGGTGGCCAGGCAGGAGTCATTGTACAGGGCGTACGGCTCGATGCAGCTGAAGCACAGCTCCGGGTCGCCTCGCAGCTGCCCCGGCTGGCAGGACGCGCAGCCCGGGCTCGTGCAGCGATCGCACTCCGGCCAGGGGAAGGCCGCCAGCTCGGGCGAGATGACATCTGGGGGTGCAGGGGGGGGGGCTGTCAGTCATGCGGGGAAGGGGGGGGGGGGGGGGGGCATTTGCTTGTCCCCTCGCGGCCCATGGTGTATGTGCCCTGCCCGGGGCCGGCCCGGCGCCCCCGCCATGGACAGTGCGGGCGTGTCTGGCCGGTCGGCCATCTTTCGCTGGTCCTGTCCGTTCTCGACCGGGTCCGCCAACGGCCGGGGGAGGGGAGGGGGGGGGGGGCAGACGGGCGGTGTGGCTGGCTTCAACACCTGTGTTTATATCACCATACACATACACACGTGCATACACATATATGCACACGTATGCACATGTATACACATGCATAAACATACATAAATATAAACATACATAAATATAAACATGCATACACAGCACACAACACACAATACACAATGCACAATACACAACACACAGCACACAATACACAATACACAATACACAACACACAATACACAATACACAACACACAACACAGCACACAACACAGCACACAACACAGCACACAACACAGCACACAATACAACACAACACACAACCATGCACATCCATGCACACGGACACGTACACCTGTCATAGAAGCCCGGGGCGCAGGTGTCACAGGCAAACCGGACACTCAGCCTGCCCTCGGCGCAGTCGCAGTAATGGTTGAAGGTGAAGGGACATAACTCCTCCATCGGAACGGGGATGAGGTCCAGCCGGATGGGCCTCGTCCTGTCGATGGGCACCATGCCCGGGCTGTCGATGAAGACGATCTGCCGCTCCCGTTCAAAGGGCAAAATCCGCACGACGCCCTGGTGCACGGGCTCCTTCTTCTCGGGGACCTCCTCGCAGGAGAGGGGCATTCGCGGGGGCCGGGTGCTGTCCAGCGGACAGCCCCGCATGGTGTGCAGGCCGAAGTGCGGCGGCTCCGTCATGCTTTGGAGGCCCAGCACCGACACCGCATCCCCATGGACCAGCAGCACCTCGTCGAAGGAATGCTGCGGCAGCCGGAAGGTCGCCAGCTGGGTGGCCAGCGGGAAGACCAGGTCGTCATCCCGGTGGGCACCCTCCTGCCAGGGCTCCTCCGGCAGGGGGGTCCACATGTCCGGGCAGGGCTCGCGCGGCAGCTGCAAGCGCATGGGCTCGCGCCACTCCGGGCCCAGCAGCATCATCAGCCGATTGGAATCCAGCACCAGGAGATCGGCATGGCCATCGCCATTGAAATCCCCGGACACCAGCGACGCATGGGGGTCCACGAAGTCCAGCCCGTTCAGGGACTGGACTTCACGCTTTTCGATTGCCAAAGGATCATGGACCATCACCACGGAGGAGGACTTGGACGCGTGGACAACCGCCGCCAGGGGCAGGGCCCCGCTCTCCAGCTGGACATTGGCCACATGGCCCAGCCGCAGGGTGTTCAAGTCCGAGCAGTCCACCTCGGCTGGGAGATAGTGCAGCGCCTGGAAGGACCCATCGCCATGCCCCACCAGGGCCACGCGATAGGGCAGGTGCTCCAGGGCCCGCGGCAGAACCAGCGCATAGTTGAAGATGACCAGCTGCTCGGTGATGTGCTCTTTGACCGAGGCCCAGGGGGAGGCGCTCTCGTCGCCGGCCAGCGTGTGGGTCAGCAGCGCCAGGCCGAGGCGCTGGTGCTTCTCCGAATACACCATGCTCACATGCCGGAGGTGCTCGCCCAGGAAGTGCAGCGGCTCGTGGAGGCCCTTGTCGGACATCCGGTAGAGGACGCCCTTTTGCAGGTAGTAGAAGGCCGGGCTGTGGTAGTCGATCTTGCCGCTTTCCGTGAAGGACACGGGCAGGGCCTCCAGCTGGAGGTATTCCTCGGGCATGTCGAAGAAGCCACGGCCCTGGAACATGACGGCTGTCGGGGGCGGTACCAGGGGGGGGGGGGGAGTCGGGGCAATGTGCAGGAGTGCAGCATGGGAGAGTCAGCAAGGGACGGAGGGGCGCGCATGTGGAGGAGGCCGGCCGGGCCGGGCCGCGCCGGGCCGCGCCGGGGCGGATGACAAGAGCGGGGGACAAAGAGGCGGAACGTGGGCGCGGCGCAGCCGGAGCCCAATGGGGCCCGGGGGACAGAGAAAAGGCCGCCGGGAGTGCCGTACTTGGCAAGATATCCAGCGCATGGACGCGGGTCGGCAGGGCGATGGCTGCCAGCAGGGCGGCAGCTGCCAGCATCAGCACCAGCAGGACCCGCGAGCCGGGCCCGCCTATGCGGGCGGCCGTGGTCGCCATACTGTGCTGACGGGAGGGCAGGGCCGGTGCAGCGAGCGGAGGGCCGGGCGGGGTCGGTTGGGGAGGGGAGGGGGAGGGCTGGAGAAGCGCCGCGAAGGATGGGGACGAGGGAGAAAGGCGACAAAAAAGCGCGATGACGAGACCCCGAGGCGTCGGGGGGGGGCTTGCGAGCCCGAACCCCCCGAAATACCCCCGGCCCTGCCTGCCTGCCGGGCCGGCCGCCCTCTGGCGGGAGCTTGTCGAAAGAAAAAAAAAAAAACAAGCACACATCCCACACAAGCCCCTGGGGCAGCCAAGCATGGTAGGGGCAGAGGCGAAGAAGGCCGGCCGCCGGCGCCCCCCTCGCGGCGGTCGGGCGAGTGCCCGGGTTTCTGGGCCGGCGAGGCCGAGAGCCGCCGCGCGGTCGGGCGGCATTCTTGCGCCAGAGCGCCCCACCGGCAACATTCAACAACAAGCGCCGGCCATGCGAGCCGGGCCCCGCAGGCTTGGACGCGCGGCCGCGCATGGTGGCCGGGGTCGGGGTCGGGGTCGGGGCGGGGGGGGG